CTATCTAAGTGTCTGAACATATTAAGTACACAAAACATTCTAGAATACTATTACGTCAGATTTAGTACCATAAAAATTTAATATCATATTTGCGCACGTCAGTAACTAGAATTAATTAACATAAAATCCATAAAATTGTGTTTCTAAAAACCCTATCCTCCAAAATACGAGAGAGATTCTACTAGAGACTCGTGTTATGAAAAGATTCGACCTCCAACCTTTGTATGTAAGTCTTGTTGTATGATTGTTTCATATTTTAGGTCCAACATAGTAAGTAACAAGTATTGTGAGTGTTACTATTTTATTTCCAAGCGGAGTTCAACTTCCATTTGATACAGTCTGAGAGATTGCAACAATTATTTAAGTCCATTAACAAAGTGAATGAAATTTTGATAAAAATTTACAAATAAAAGTAGACCACAGTTCAAGGGAAGAGACACTAATTGTTTTTCTTTTTTTTTTGTACGGTTGATTATCGGCTATCGGTTTGAATTGTATCCACCGTTGTCGTCAATGCGTCTCGCCATTATTCAGCCAGTCTGCACTTATTCCTCGCGTTTAATGCTTTTCGTTCGCTCACTCAGTCATCATTTTGGTATCATTAATACGGGTGTTGTAATATAAAGTTTTTTGTGTAACTTTGTTATTAATGTTGATATACTGTGACTGCAATAAAACTTTTACTATAGCTGCGCCTAAGAAAATCATCACAAGAATGGTATTCGATTGTCTTGTCTTTGTTTCACATAATGAGTTTGTATCAAAAATGATGCTTCCTACTGGGGAGGATGTAATTGGGTGTTGTACACTTGTACACAGGAGAGATACGACTTGGCGATGGTGCTTAAAGTTAATAATAAAAGCGTCACTTTTTCACAAGTTGCCAGAACATTAAGTCACAAAGTTACACAAAATACATGGAGATAAACGTAAATGCCAAAATTACAATTAGGAGAGCAGACGAAACACATTAAACACGAGGAATAAGTGCAAACTGACTGAATAATGGCGGAACGCGGTGACGATAAGAGTCTTTATGTTACAGTAAATGTGATTAATCCGATGATTATATAATAACCGATAATTATGCATAATTACCACTAAATTTTGTAAATATGATAAATTTTTGAAAATTTATCAAATTAGCTGGTTTGTTTGTAATGTCGTAATGGTAAATGTGATAAAAGTCATCGTATATGTTGAAACAAAGACAACCTTGTGACATACTAAAACATATCAGCACGCGGTGGGCAAGGGTATTAAAAAAACTCCAGCCTGTAATAAATCTAACCAACCAAACAATGACATCACCAATGAATACACATCTCCAAACAGCCTACCATACTATTACCTATTTTATATATCATATGCCACCACATATATTGTTTTCAACGTTCAAAAACTGCACGAAAAAATATCTTTTTGAATGGTAACTGTACAAAGAAAAGTGCACTCTATTGGGATCCGTCAAATAGGAGGAGCCTAAAAACATGGCGCCGATTAGGGAAAATTTATCGTAGTTCCTATAGTGTACCGTGCAATTTCCAANTTTTACTTTTTTAACGTGTTTTATGTTTTTAATAAACAATTTTAAATTTTTCCCTTGTTCGAGTTATAAATTTTGCCACCAGATGGTGTATGCCCATTTGACGGATCCCAATTCTTCTGGTCCAGTCATTCATGATATTTATCGTATTTACCATTACGAGTTTCGAATTGTGTAAACAAACTGGTTAATTTATTAAATTTATCATATTTACGAAATTTGGTGATGATTATGCATAATCGCCTGTTATTATATAAGTATATAATCACCAGTTTATTACTTTTATCGTGACATATACCTAAGATTCAAGCTGATAATCGATAGTCAACTATACAAAAGAAAAAAAGAAGAAACAATTACATTGTTACCATTTTTTTTTCTTGAACTGTTTTTATTTGTAAATTTTTAATTAAAATTTCATTCACTTTCAAGTTAATGCTCACCAGAAAGTTGTTAATGTATTTAAATAATATTTAAGCGTTAGTTTCTGTAGTACTTAAGAATTAGAGCTATTATATATTTTCGGGGCGAGGTTAATTCAAAAATGTTAAAAATTATCGTAGAAATGGTTTTTTTTCCAACATAATTATCCATTTGCTTTCAAATCGGATAAACTGCTGATGAGCTTTCTTTGTCGATAATATCCAACTTGCTTCATGCAATAACTGTTTCTAACTATTTAATCATTAACGATTCTAGATTTTACTTACGTAAATACAGTTCGGAAATACACGGAAATCCAGGGCAGACTCAAGCTTATCAGGGACGGTTAAAATGTACAAAGAGGGACTGCTGTAACCGTGACTGAGCAGAGGGTAGAAAGGAATTACATGAGTTATAGAGATGTACCTACTAAGGTTCATAAGTTAAATGTAATTGAATTCATCTCCGAAACTACTAGACCTAAAATTTTGAAAAAATACAGAAAATAGTTATTTACTTATAGATTACAAGAAAATTGATAAAAAGTGTATGGTCTGAACATAACGTAAATCTTTCAACAAAACAGTATTGTGGGTACAAATTTACATTTTGTAACACTTGTCGTGGATTGGTTTTTTAAAATACTTTATATTATCACTAAACATATATTATATATACACAATGGAATAAAGAACAAATGTATACATGTTACCTTAATCTAACAAAATATAGTCATCAACCACGATGTAAATGTTCTTAATCACAACATGAAAGTATGAGTCCGCGTGTGGCTCTAAACCTAAACTTAACACTATTGTCCGACACAAATACTGGTTGACGTCACACAATATTCTTACTGGCACTTGGAGGTAGGGCTCTATACAAAGAAAACTCCTGACACCCTGTTCAAGTCTAAGGGCCACTCTAATGTTCCTACTGAGGAAAACTCTTAGAGGGAGCTTGAGACTGATGTTGGTCTCTCTTTCGTGTTTTTTTTTATTAAGATTATTCTCGAGGAGGGGAGATCTTCAAAAGACACCCCCTGAAGGGAGGTAGTGTCGGATTTTTACCGACTAAAACCCCTCTTCGAGTGGGGAGATAAACCCTGAGGATTACTCATCGCCGGGAAGACAATGGAAGTTTGGGATTTGGGAGAGGGTTGAGAAGGGAAAATGGTCCAAGGTGCGGTTTTGAGGAGGGGGACGAGAACCGTCGGAATGGGTGGTCCACCTTGGAAGTGATGCGTGGACACTCGCGCTAGAAGTGAGCGAAAGCGAGTGGCTCATTGAAGAAGGTGACAGGGCCTTCGGAAACGATCGTTTGGTTTCGGGGCGAATTTGGGATATGGTTAAGAGTGTGGATAGAAGGGAGTGTTGGGGAGGAAACCGAAGTAGGTGGTCCACTTCTGAAGTGCTGGATGGACACTCCCGCTAAAAAGCGAAGAATATCTTTCGTGTTTTTTTTTGTTTTCGTGGAAGAGGGGAAATCTTCAAAAGACACCCAGCCATCCGTACGACTGGGTAGTGTCGGATTCCCGAGGAAGATGTTCTCGGATCAACCGACTAAAACCCCTCTACCTCAGGCCGTTATAGGATCAATTAAGGTCCTCTTCAGTCAATAGTTGTTGAGAGTTTTTTGTGATTGTGTTTTTAAGAATATGTTTGTGTATGTGTGTGTGTGTGTGTGGGGAGGGTTATTTTAAGGAGTTGGGAAGGTTATCCAGGTAATTGAGATATTCCTCAGGGAGGTCGGGAGTGGTTGCCAATAATTTGGCAGGGGGAAGGGATCTTTCGTGACACCCTTTAAGTCTAAGGGCAACTCTAATGTTCCTACTGCGAAAAACTCTTAGAGGGAGCTTGAGACTGATGTTGGTCTCGCTTTCGTGTCCAGTGCCAGTCCTTTTATACCCCTGGTCAGGGTGCATCGAACCGAAACACCAGGAAAGGGTAGTCGCACAAGGGTAGGAGGACGTACGTCTCTATCGCTACTAAGCCCCAGTGGCGCCTTCGCGAGCGGCACTGCGGCGCGTCGGGAAACTGCGCTGGGGTAAAAGCGGCAAAATTTCGATTTGAACGAGACGCGTGTTACAATTTGCAGTTTGAATGTATGGGGGAACATGCTTTTTTTTCTACTGCAATGTTAAGTTGGTTCTTGGGTAAGCATTTCGTATATCCGAATGAAAAAGGGAACTCTTATTGGATCACTCGTGTATCTGCCTGTCCGTTTTTTTGTTAAATATTGTTAATAACTTAACAATTATGAACAAAATCAAAAACAGCAGTAAACAGACACGTATATGTTAATTAAAACATTAATTTAGAAATTGATATATTTTTCATGGCATTTCTTTCTTTTCAGTGGTNGGGTTATTTTAAGGAGTTGGGAAGGTTATCCAGGTAATTGAGATATTCCTCAGGGAGGTCGGGAGTGGTTGCCAATAATTTGGCAGGGGGAAGGGATCTTTCGTGACACCCTTTAAGTCTAAGGGCAACTCTAATGTTCCTACTGCGAAAAACTCTTAGAGGGAGCTTGAGACTGATGTTGGTCTCGCTTTCGTGTCCAGTGCCAGTCCTTTTATACCCCTGGTCAGGGTGCATCGAACCGAAACACCAGGAAAGGGTAGTCGCACAAGGGTAGGAGGACGTACGTCTCTATCGCTACTAAGCCCCAGTGGCGCCTTCGCGAGCGGCACTGCGGCGCGTCGGGAAACTGCGCTGGGGTAAAAGCGGCAAAATTTCGATTTGAACGAGACGCGTGTTACAATTTGCAGTTTGAATGTATGGGGGAACATGCTTTTTTTTCTACTGCAATGTTAAGTTGGTTCTTGGGTAAGCATTTCGTATATCCGAATGAAAAAGGGAACTCTTATTGGATCACTCGTGTATCTGCCTGTCCGTTTTTTTGTTAAATATTGTTAATAACTTAACAATTATGAACAAAATCAAAAACAGCAGTAAACAGACACGTATATGTTAATTAAAACATTAATTTAGAAATTGATATATTTTTCATGGCATTTCTTTCTTTTCAGTGGTGAAGTGAGTCATCAACTTTCGGCAACCAGACTATTATCTTCACCTGACGGCTCACGACATCCATTAGATGGATTCGATCAAAGTTGGCCGTGGTACGACTCATTTTCAAGCCTCCATCGAGAAGCTTACACGGAAGTTCACGTACCCAGATCTCCACTTTTTGCATTCAGTTGCTTTCATGCCTGTCGAACTCGAATAAGACAACGACTTGCTAAACGAAAGGTATGTGCAGTTTAAAATGATGGTAGTATTCGTTAATATTTGTTAACAGTAAGAGTAAAATGTCAAAATCCCAAAACCTTTCTGGGTAAGAATAGCTAGATGTACAAAAGTTCAAATTTACACCAATTAGTACCTATCAAACACTAAGGACTATGTCCCCAATAATTGAAAGGTTATTATAAAGATAGGTTTTGCCTATGAAATACAGGAGTTGACTTAGTGATTAAAACTGTTAGTCTAGAATCTTTAATATCTTTTTAGAAAGCTTAGTTAAAGGCTGGTTGACAATTGATTCATATTATTAACAAATATCACATTCGGAGCCTCTCCTACGAGGAGCTTGGAGCTACTTTAGTGGGAGAAGGAGGAAATTATTATTCTCCATAATCCAACCTATCCTACTTAACCTAGCATTACATAAACAAACATAACCTAGTTTAGATGAAACTTCAAATATAGTAATATAATTCGAAGTGGTCTGCATTCTGTCGAAACTACCAGACGCGGATCGCGATTTCGATCTTTTTGGATCTCATCAGGGCGTTACAGGCAGCTCCGACAGAACACAGACCTACTTTTACCTGCTTTCTTAACAGTGCGTTTTAGAAAATACTACAAATGGCGCAGTAAGCGCCATCTGTAGCCCGATGCTACATTTTAGGATTACGTATGCTTCAACAAGGTCCACTTGTGTGGATATATATTTGTTGAAAAGGAATCCCGGCGTAGCCAACCTCAACGTGATAGGCACGTTAGCTTAATCGAATAAAATAATTCGAAGTGGTTTGTATTCTGTCGAAACTGCCAGATGCGGATCGCGATTTCGATCTTTTGGGTCTCATCAGCGCGTCGCAGGCAGCTCCGACAGAACATAGACCGACTTTTACCTGCTGTCTTAACAGTGCGTTTTAGAAAATACTACAAATGGCGCAATAAGCGCCATCTGTAGCCCGATGCTATATTTTAGGATTACGTATGCTCCAATAAGGTCCACTTGTGTGGATATCTACTTGTTGAAAACGAATCCTGTCGGGGCTGCCTGCGACGCGCTGATGAGATATAAAAAGATCGAAATCGCGATCCGCGTCTGGCATTTTCGACAGAATGCAGACCACTTCGAATTATTTTATTCGATTAAGCTAACGTGCCTATCACGTTGAGGTTGGCTACGCCGGGATTCGTTTTCAACAAGTAGATATCCACACAAGTGGACCTTGTTGGAGCATACGTCATCCTAAAATGTAGCATCGGGCTACAGATGGCGCTTACTGCGCCATTTGTAGTATTTTCAAATATAGTATTTATTTATAAAATAGGTCAAATATATCAGCGACTATTGCCTTTTTTATCCTCTCTAGCCGAGAAGAAGTATAGTTAAACACAATAGCTTCTTGCGCACATTAAACCGCCGTCTAAACTTACAGCGCTTTATCCACCTTCGAGTAGAATTTGGGTTTCCATGTACATTCTGTTCCTGCCTTCCTGGTTTATTGCTATACGAGGATAAGCGTGGGTCACACTGTTGTAGATTTTACATTAAGCTCCATATAATTTAAGACGACTTCGGTTCCGTAAAAATGACAATGTATAACTGCACATATGCAATCCCAGATTACTCAAAACGCCTTCAGTTGCGGGAAAATACTAGTGTGTTACGTACCTGGAGTGGAAACGTAGAGCATGTTTCAGACCGTTAGACCGCATGCTTATTTCCTTCCCGAATCGTCTGTTTTACGACTCCTCGATGAAGTCTGAGTTTGAACTTAAAATTGCTGTTTTGCGCCCGATATTGGCAACTTATGAGTTCATTTTTGGTTTAATAAAACGAAGAACCGATTCCTTTTTATCTGCTATTATCCCTCCAATGGACAAAGTGAGGTTATATTTATAAATTATTATTATACCTAGTTATTATAGATATGTCTATACAGATGGGCCTTATTAAACAAAAAAATTAAGTAAATGTTTGGTGGTCCGAAAGTTCATCGTTTTCGAGAAGAATGCATTTGAAAATATAGTCAAAGGTTACTCTGACTGTGGTTGAATCACGCAGGGAAATATGACACTTGTTTTATATTTTTGTACTCATGCATTGCTTGTTTGTGATTGGCGAAGTTTACTGTATGTAACAGCCACACTAGAGAAGTTCTTTTTTCTCTTTTAATGTTGTAGGCTTGTATGCATGTAGTTAGTAGACGTTTTTGACAGTAGGTCAGGATGTCAGTGTCATGAGTCAGTGTAGCTTACATTGGCCAATGCGAACAGTTTCCTAGACGCTAGATTGGATCTACGAATTTTGTAACTTGGGCGGCTCGTAGACCTGATCTAAATCCTGCTGACTTCTCTGCATGGGGTGATATCAAGCAACGCGTGTATTAAGTGCCAGTGCAGAATGCAAATAAAGTAGGTATGTCAAATGCCGGAACGAATCATTTTTGTAGTATTCGTGTGGCACGGTATTGTAATTAATTTTTTCTAACGGGAAGATAAGTCTATTGAGGATCCAGAGACTTTTTCTATTAATGTTCACATAACGTTAATTTTTTTTGTTTTTTTTGTGTTTTTAATACCATGTCGAGGTATACTTTAAAAAGTACTGCATATTGTCTGCGATGAGAAAAGTAGGCATTTAATTAATTTTAATAGTAATGGACGCCTAAATATATATATACATAGTAGAGTAGTAGTAAACTGTTGATCTTTACTCTAATAGTCGTTCTAGGATCGTTATTCAGCGATGTATCTGATAAGTTGTTATCGTAATTTCTCTGTACGTTGTGCCAATTTTTGCCCATATCGGCTTCGGATTGCAACTTTTTCTGGTTTTCTTACAAAACTTTTTGTCTCTTAATCACGTTGCTTTACTCACCGTGCCATTCATTATTGCATCAAGTGATAAAGTTAACACCTTTCGAAGCTTGTCACTTATTTCATACATATCCAGGAAGGGATTAGAAAATTCAAATAAAATATAAAATTGCGGCAACCAATTTTAATGATAAAAGAAACATCGTTATCATCACGCTGTTCAGTTAGTTGTTTCACTGTGTGACTTTTCTTAATGATTTTCCATCCATTAGAATAGTGCGCTGTCACTACGCCATTTGGAAAACACCTATGAATTGTAATTGGCTTTTAAATTATACATTCGATTGTAAATATCAGATCAGAAGGTCGAATCCGATGAAATTTAAACTAACAGAGAAAATTGACGAATAAAAGGACAAAACTAGGTGAACTTCGACCTGGCGGGAAAAATCAGCAATAGATCAAAAGTCAAGGAAAGTAAAACAGATAAAATTATTCATTTTAGACTTAAAATAAATAAAATTCTTCTACTCGAGTCCATCCTTCGATATATATATGGTATTTTTCGCCACCCCTTTCTCAGGAAATGATTTTTTTTGGGTAAGAAATGTAAAAATCATGTTAGTCGAAACAAAAATTCAATAATATAATAATACCTTTTGAATCCATGTTTAAGAAACTTCTTTTAGGTAATATTTATTTTATCTATCTACGTTATTTTAAAAGTGAAACAATAAAACAAAGCCTGTAAACCTTCCTTTGAAGAAGAGCTGTTGTCACATCTCAGTCAGCTTTTCGAAATGATGAATTTAAAAAGATCGTTTTTCATTCCACGCTAGGCTTCTTAACACAAATCACAAATTTCATAAATGTTTGACTAGGTACACCTATTTACTTATTCAAATTTTCATTAACTCAGACAATGCTGCATCATATTTTCTCATGTAACAAAGGAAGACAAACGATTTTAACTTTTTCGGTTCGCTATGTAAGTTGTACCTAATTTAACGTGTTGTGGATTAATGTATGAAAGGAATAAGGTTATTTATCTTGTTCTTCTGCGCTTTCCCTGTCTAAGCAAATACGGTTATCCTCAAGCGGCATATAACAGAAATATCCCAGGAGGAATGCTAGAACTCTCAGATACGCCTGCCTCCCGTTTCAACTAAGCTCAAAATGTAGGTTATCAGGGTAATCAGGAGACATGGGCGTAGGAATGGACCTCTTCCCTATTATTCACGTGCTAAGGATATGCACCAATGTAGTAACGCGAACTGTAATGAAGGTACATTTAGAACGGGAATGAATTAAAAAATTAATGTCCATATTCTTTATGTAAGAGGATTACAACTCCGTGATGTTGGCACCTTGTATATGGAATTCTAAATAACCAATTAAAGATTTAAAAGGCTAGGAAATTATCACAAAATTAATCCCATAAATTGGTCAGCGATACATAATTTTTTAAGTTTTCGAGACCGCATTGAGATCATTTTATTGGAACGCTTCCAATTCTCTAAATAATTTCTTTTGCATCCATAGTAGGTAGCAGCTTTAGCAATGATTTAGGAAATAATATTTTTGACGAATATTTTGAGGAGAGACTGAATTTTGTGTCTGCCTGCAGAAATGTAGATTATAATATTTGACAGAAGAAAAATCAGTAACGATGAACCGTATCAGGTCTTAAAAAATTGAATAGGATCGTGTAATACAAAACCATTTTTATGCACTCTATACATTTATCCATATTTTCTTTTTATTTTTTTATAAATAAATTTCAAGTGTTTGCATTATTGAAGTTTTGTTCATTTTACACTATGATAACTTATGAATAAAAGTTTAAAAAACCTATTAACCCAAATAAACCTAAATCGTAAATTAAATTTTTTATAAACTCAGTTTAATAATATTGTTTTGAGATGAAGATAAATAAAAACAATTTTTTTAAGCAATTTTTGTTTGACAATCAACTTACAAATTAAAATAAATTCCAAATTAACAAAAGTTTTATTTTATACAAATATTATTGCATTGTCATTGAATTTATATACGTGTATTAAATTTTAACCCGGTCCGAATGTGGAAAATGACTCAAAATTAATTTGAAAGATTTATAGCAGACACACAAGAGGGCAAGTTAAAAGAAAATGTTTAATAATAACAACTATTGCGTCTTGATAAGAACTTTTTAAGTAAGAAACCCACCTATCCCAAAATTCATTAAAGAAGAATTCTAAAGGAATTTTCGTGGATTTGCACCAGCAGACTACGCAATCAACGATTCTCAAGCATTGTACTGACATTTGATATTTGTTGAGCGTTTTGGAAATCCAAAATATGTTTCTATGTGAAAAACGATTATTCTACAAAAATTCATGTTGGTGTTATGTGTGTTTGTCGGCTAGCACGAACTAGCTGTCATTTTCATGACATCAAAAGAACTTATTGAACACATGAATAACTGAATTGCATGAATAACTACATATGGAAACGCTTTCCGCAGGAAGAGTACCATGTTTGCCTACAATCGATCGAAAACATGAGAGAATGAACATTTTGAGAGAGTGTATGAGGCTTATCCAACGTAATCCTGATATAATCCGCCATCAACTCATAATTGTCGATGAAACATGCATTCCTCATTATGCGTCAGAAATAATTCAACAATGAAAACAATGGATGGAGATTTCGAAGAAGAAAATCGTAATTAGTTCACCACTAGCGCACTAACATTTAGGTTATTTTTGTGATATATTGGGATCCGTTAAATTGATGTAGCTCAAAAAACATTACGACGATGTAGTGCAATTGTAAATTTTTTAAAATACGATGAAATGATAAGTATCAGCACAATATGTGATTGGGCTGATGTAAGTCATCGAAAAAGGGAATTTCTTGAAAGGGAACCTGTGTTAAATGCCAGTCATATCATAAAATCGGGAAGAAATTCATTTGACGCAGAACCTTCAAGTAAGGTGAATTTTACCGCTTTCTGTCTACAAACTTCCGATTTAAAGAGTGATCCACATGAAATAAATGGTAAAGTGACTTTAAATGGAGATACCTATTATATCAGTAGAGTGTTTATGTAAAGCAGGTTTAGATGAACGTTTCAAGCATATTATTGCAACATTACTATATTGCAGAAGTTAAGGTCCTAAACTAAAAATATTCAGAACGTATTTTCAGTTCAGAGTTAGCTTAGGTAATCTTTTTTCTATCAAAATTTTTAATGTTTTTTTATAGATTTCATTTATAAACTATTACGTTTTTAATATTACGACTAAGCGTAATATATATTGGGTAAGATACAATCATTTACCCTAAAATGACGTGAAAATCTTCATTCCAGAATTCATTTCTTTGAAGCGTTTTACTTTCATACGAACTTCTAGTTTATTTTGTACGTATACGAAACAGTTAGGTTTCCTTTGAAAGCAATTAAAATGCAGTTGAAGATATTTATTGGTGGTAGATACTATTACAGCCTTTTAGTACACAGACTAAATTTTTATTTGTTTTTAGACAATGTGAACACTTCCCAGGTTCCGTGATAACTTATTTATTAATTTATTCAACGTTTTTTATCATTATAATAAAATATTTCACGATTCTATCAGTACTAATTCACACATACGATTCATAGACATTTTGACTTGATAATTTTTTGGTTACGTGTTACTATTCGCACTTTCTTAAAACTAGAACATCCCTCGTCTTTAACTAATTTAATATAATATAATACCTATCGAATATTTCTTAAAACGAAAAACGAAACTAACCGGTTTGCTAGGTACTAGGTACTTGACATTCATTTGTAAACGTTAATAGAACTCTGAAAGTGAATAGAAGTATGCTTGGAATTTGAGGTATTTATATACATCGTAGGCCATTAAAAACAAGCCAGATTTTGTGTAGAAAAGTTCATATATCGAAAAATGCCTCAAACAGACTGACTCAGTTTTGGAGGGGTACATCTGGGTGCTATGGAAAAGAAAAAAGATACCGTGGATAGAAAGGTTAGAAATGACTAGGTAATTACTTAATAGAATAGAGTTGTAGTCAATCACTTAATAAATCAAGGGAGATCTGCTGCTAACTGAAGTAAGAACCAAAATGGTACAAGTTCTTGGACAGTAAGAAGATCGCCACCACATTTCAGACGCTTCTAACCTTTTCTTTTCCACCGCGTCCACTGTCCATGTTTTGTTCCCGTACATCGTCGCGCCCCAAACATACACCTTTAACAATCTTTTTCGAATTTCTAAATTAACCGTTCTCGAGCATAGAAGTGGCTTCTTTTTATTGAAGGCGACTCGATCCTGCGCTATCCTTTACTTTATATCTCTACTACTCCTTCCGCCCTGACTTCTCTGATTTCCTAGCCACTTCTAATTTTTCACCTCCTATCTTTATATTCGCTCTTTCTCTACCTTTTCTAAAGAACATATTACGAAGAAATCATAGTTCTCAGTTTTGTATGTTCAAATTGTCATAACTTGATATACTGTGTGACATAAGTTCGAGATTAATATGCCTGTTGCAAGGTGACGTAATATGAGAAAGAATACGTGTTGATTGTCGGCGAATAATTGACCCACATGCAATCAAATAAAAATGTGACAATGCAGATATACTTAGGTTAGATAAAACGTTTTTTCCTAAGAACTTGTAAATAGTGCGTAGGTATATTATAGGATTAAATTAGTATAGGTATATACAGTAGTTGGTTAATTTAATTTTAGCATTAAGTAATTTTTAGTTGTATGCTTATATTATTTTGAATTTATTGTAAATGTTAAAAAAACTGCAAACTACAAGGTTGTTTTCTAAGTCTTCTCGACAATTAATAGCTTTTACCCCTTGTATTAGAATAAAGGATGCTTCTATAAGAATAAGCGTTTCAAATATTTGTCTTCTATAATTATGTAAAATGCTGGAACTGTCAAAATTAGGCTTGTGCTTACTAAGCGCGGTTTTGTATGAACTGCTTATTAGGATTTGCTTTTTATGGTCGTTTTTGTGCTCACGGATCCTTACTTTAACTGGACCAATATAATTTTTTCGCAATTTCTATTTTATTATTGAATTTCTTTAGTACTGTCAAGCGCCACGAAGGTAACAGTCACATAGTAGAATGAGTGATACACTTACCCAGCAGCTGTATATCTGGTGTGGTATTGATGTGTCAAGAAAGTTGTTTTGTACTTACTAAAAGGTATCAAAAGCCATACAACAAAGGTAGATAAAAGAACTTAAAGACAAAATTTTCCATGCGATTTACTCGCACGGGCATACCTATTAATACGTTGTAGTATGTAGGTTTAACAAACAAACAAGGTTCTGTTGATAAGTACTAATTAGCCTGATGTGATAGTATACAATAGGTTTCCAATGGGAATTCACACAAACATTGAGTTGTGCATAGTCAAATAAATTGCTTCCCAAGTGGGTCACATTGTCCAAAGATACATTCAGTACCGTCAGTGCTGTTTCTCATAAAATGTAGATAAGTTGCTTGTAGAACTCTAATAATAATATAATTGATCTGTTCATTGTTGAAGTCGTGACTACTTAAAACTTATTCATAATTAAATTACATACAATGGAATTAGTAAAGGTTTCAAGAAAAATCATTCTAGAAACTTTTTACTAATTTTAGTGTTTAATTTCATTAATAAATGTCATGAATCACACAAGCAGGACCGGTCTGAGCAGTCGGGCGATAGAATGAAGTCAATTGTTTTGTTTTTATTCTATAGCGATGATAATGTTCAAACAAGTTACTTACATCGCTATTATTTACTTTCTCTCCATAATTCCAGCATGTTACTGTTACTTAAAAACATTTTTTTCGTTCTTTCAAATTGTTAACTGGTGTTTTGTTGTTTTGAAATGCATATAAATTTCACAATTGTCTAAGTTCGTTACTTTTGTTTTGTTACAGGTAGAACAAGGTGTAAAGTTATATGACAAGCATAAGCAGCAGCAGGCTGTCAAAAAATGGAGATCAGCTCTAAAAGCTGTCAGACGTCGGGAAGATAAATTTCTTGTTTTGGGCTATTTGTATCGTGCTTACATGGACTGGGGAAAATATAGGTGAGTTACGAACCAAACAGATTTATCAGAACTATTAAGTGTTGGTACGTATTATGCTGACATTATAAATTGGGGGTGTTTGTCGTTGTTATTACCGCTTGAAAACAACGAGGGTATATGCGTCGTAACGTTTTCCGAGTCCTGGTCATTTTACTAAAGAGAAACAGAGACAATCTTCCTTTCTAAGAGAGTGAAGTAAGTCCTCACTAACTCAAATCAATTTTAAACTCTAGAGCTCTAGACCGAATGACTTAACCTAGAGGTTTGGACCATTCCTTAGCATTCGAGAAGACCTGGGGTCTGATTGTTCTGGTCTAGATTTTTCTATGGTTTCCTTGGATTACTTACGCAAATTCTAGGACAGTAATAACATTCCATAGATAATCTTTCACTTGTCTTCCGTTTTCATGTCGTCCGTTTAATCTTTCTCATCTCAACCACCACCACCACCACCACCACCACCAACCCAGTCCCGCGATTCCTAAAAGGAGACTGAAGAGGGTCTTCCGAACCCCCTCCAGTGTAGGGATAGTCCGCTCACCAGCATTATAGTAGATGGTGGGGATGAAACATCTAAAAGTCTTTTTTAGTTTTAGACTCTAGACTTTAGAGAAATATTTTACCATTAGAGTCCACATTTACATTAGGTAATAATATAGGAGGGCGCATAAGTTGATAAAGGTACCAATAAATGCAATTTATGAAATTATTATTAATCTAAGATTACACATTTACAGGCTATGAAATAATGCCAGACCTGCAGCTACACAATTTTCCACAATTTAAGTAATGTCATACACAGCACTTGCTTGGTGTCGTGATGATGTTGCATAATATTTTAAAATTTTGTCTTTTTTTTTGTTTCTCGAAGGACCACCTCTTATAGAGGAAAAATTTGAGTAGATTGAACAATTTTATTCATTAACAACTTAATATAAAAGGAATTTCGCTTTACAAACTAAATTTGACTTGGGCAAAAAAAACGTGTGCATATTACATATACTTAGTACTCCTAACATGGGTCTAGAAAAAGGTGCCGACCCAACGGACAGACATATATATGTCTCCCTCATTTAGACTTTGAACGTTGTGCACATGTCCGAGAAGCTACAACACATACGAAAACTTGTCTGCTCTAACTACAGTCGCAACGCTTTCGCATAACCCATCAAGTATAAACTAGTGAGAAGAATTAATGTAGTTGCTGTTTCTCTTGATCGACATCGCCGCCACTTACGAGGACTAGCAATATAGGAGTATTAGGTATATGACATATTGCCAGTTCAGATCAGTCACTGCTCCTGGGTCACCCCCGAAACCATAACATCCGTCCATTGGATTCCGTAACGCAACAGCACATACGTCTCGAAATAAATCAACTACATCTTATTTTTATTACACACATTTTTACAAGACATAGTTATTTTTATAGCCAAATGTTACAAAAATGACGATTATTTACAATTTTTGTTTGAACAGAATACATTTCTTCCAGAACAAAAGGTTCATGGTGCTCAATATTTTGTCGAAACCGTCAGACGCGGACAGCGATTTCAATTTTATCGGATTTCAGCGCATCGTAAACAGTTTCGTCAGTCTCACACGCCCACTCTACTTCTTAGTGTGTCTTAGGACAGCGTTTTATGAATTACTACAAACAGCGTGGTAGTGTTATTATAGATGGCGTTTACTAAGCTGTTTGTGGTAATTTATGTAGTGTTCTCTTGAGGTAGCAGTTAGAGTGGTTCTGTATTTTGTCGAAACTGTCTACGATACGTTGATGAGGTCCAATGAGATCGTAGTCGCGATCCACGTCTGACAGTTTCGACAGAAAATTGACCACCATGAGCTTTTTGCTCTGTTTGGTTATGTACCTACCACATAGGATTAGCTATGTCGGGGATATATTTATGGGCCATGTTAAACATTCCTGAATTCCAGTAAAGGTAGCAATATTCTACAGACGACGTTTACCACGCTGTTTGTAGTCATTTAGATTTCTTCCAATACGATGTTCGAAATTTGACCACCAGAGGCTCTGACTGAGTAACAAGCACGAAGGTAGGTACCTACAGAGTGATCAAACATAATAATGTACATGAAATAAATGATGATGCGACTCTTAGTAGCAATTTTATGTCGATAGTGTTTACATGTCTGTACATGTGACAAATATATTGTTAAGTTCCTAACTTCAGAATGGTCACCTATAGCAGAGCCGGGCAAACTCGGCTCTTTTGACTCCCGAGAGCTCTTCAGGTATAGTCAAGGAGCTCCTCATTAATCCTGCGAGTGCGAGTGGGATGATTCTTTCCTTTTCTTATCCCTTCCATTTTCTAGGTGAGTCCCCTCTTCCCTAGCCAAACTCTATAGTATTGCGAACGTAGTAACGAAAATTTTCGTAGGTATAATGTTGCGAGAGAGGCTTCGCTCGTCTTTGGGATGAAGGGGCTTGATATGGGAGTGGAAGGGACAAGAAAAAGAGAAAGCAATATGGGTCATTACTGCTTACTTTCTCGTACACATTGAAGGGTATGGAGGGACTCAAAATGACCTCAGGTAGCGGCTCCTACGAAGTTAAAGTTTGCCCGGCTCTGACCTATAGACGTGCACACATTTTCATTCCGAAATTAACTTCTTTGATATTCTTGTAGGAGCGATTTTTATTATTATTATGAATGATGATATTTTTCACCTATTATGTATATATATACCAATAGCCACACAGCTATTTCCTCACCAGCTTTACACAGCAACCAGTGGGTTTCCCTCGAGAGTTACATCTTGCGAAGTGGCATGCGGCAATGAATGTAAAACAACATGTAAGGAAATAAACAAAACCCTCAATNTCTAATAATAATATAATTGATCTGTTCATTGTTGAAGTCGTGACTACTTAAAACTTATTCATAATTAAATTACATACAATGGAATTAGTAAAGGTTTCAAGAAAAATCATTCTAGAAACTTTTTACTAATTTTAGTGTTTAATTTCATTAATAAATGTCATGAATCACACAAGCAGGACCGGTCTGAGCAGTCGGGCGATAGAATGAAGTCAATTGTTTTGTTTTTATTCTATAGCGATGATAATGTTCAAACAAGTTACTTACATCGCTATTATTTACTTTCTCTCCATAATTCCAGCATGTTACTGTTACTTAAAAACATTTTTTTCGTTCTTTCAAATTGTTAACTGGTGTTTTGTTGTTTTGAAATGCATATAAATTTCACAATTGTCTAAGTTCGTTACTTTTGTTTTGTTACAGGTAGAACAAGGTGTAAAGTTATATGACAAGCATAAGCAGCAGCAGGCTGTCAAAAAATGGAGATCAGCTCTAAAAGCTGTCAGACGTCGGGAAGATAAATTTCTTGTTTTGGGCTATTTGTATCGTGCTTACATGGACTGGGGAAAATATAGGTGAGTTACGAACCAAACAGATTTATCAGAACTATTAAGTGTTGGTACGTATTATGCTGACATTATAAATTGGGGGTGTTTGTCGTTGTTATTACCGCTTGAAAACAACGAGGGTATATGCGTCGTAACGTTTTCCGAGTCCTGGTCATTTTACTAAAGAGAAACAGAGACAATCTTCCTTTCTAAGAGAGTGAAGTAAGTCCTCACTAACTCAAATCAATTTTAAACTCTAGAGCTCTAGACCGAATGACTTAACCTAGAGGTTTGGACCATTCCTTAGCATTCGAGAAGACCTGGGGTCTGATTGTTCTGGTCTAGATTTTTCTATGGTTTCCTTGGATTACTTACGCAAATTCTAGGACAGTAATAACATTCCATAGATAATCTTTCACTTGTCTTCCGTTTTCATGTCGTCTGTTTAATCTTTCTCATCTCAACCACCACCACCACCACCACCACCACCAACCCAGTCCCGCGATTCCTAAAAGGAGACTGAAGAGGGTCTTCCGAACCCCCTCCAGTGTAGGGATAGTCCGCTCACCAGCATTATAGTAGATGGTGGGGATGAAACATCTAAAAGTCTTTTTTAGTTTTAGACTCTAGACTTTAGAGAAATATTTTACCATTAGAGTCCACATTTACATTAGGTAATAATATAGGAGGGCGCATAAGTTGATAAAGGTACCAATAAATGCAATTTATGAAATTATTATTAATCTAAGATTACACATTTACAGGCTATGAAATAATGCCAGACCTGCAGCTACACAATTTTCCACAATTTAAGTAATGTCATACACAGCACTTGCTTGGTGTCGTGATGATGTTGCATAATATTTTAAAATTTTGTCTTTTTTTTTGTTTCTCGAAGGACCACCTCTTATAGAGGAAAAATTTGAGTAGATTGAATAATTTTATTCATTAACAATATAAAAGGAATTTCACTTTACAAACTAAATTTGACTTTTGAAACCATAGCATCCGCCCATTGGATTCCATGATGCAATAACAAGTATTAATTAAAACACCTCGTGGTGATACTTAGACAAACCACTTAAACATAAACTGGTGTCGTTCTGGTACGGGTCTAAAGGCCGTCGTAGGTTGAAGTTGCTTCCTAACGTTTTGCTAATACGAACGTCTTCAGAGGTCCTTCTATTGTTCACGTCCAGCGTCGGAGATGGAAGGACCTATGAAAAAGCTTGCCACTCGTGCTAGCGAAAGGTTAGGATGCAACTCTAATAGATGGCGGGCTTTAAACCTACATCAGAGACAGTATCAGTTCACATACACATAATGTTTATTTTCTCTCACAAGCATTTTCTTTTCATTTACCGGATTAATAAAATGGAAAAAGGTAAGAGCTGTGCTTTTTACCTGTCTCAACTGTAAAAATGATAGTTGAACCCACTTATAATGTATTCAGTTTACTTCGTTGTTTGTTGTATTACAGTTTGCTACCTTGCGCAACTTGTTCTAGTTTAACAATAGTTGCTTCATTATTTCAGTGTTACATGCTTTATTTTTTCTAACGTAACATGAGAACAAACTTGTATTCCACCTAATTACAACAATATCACAATTGTCGAGTTGAAATGGCTACATTGGGTATGGGAACAAAAATTAGACACTGTCAGAAGACACAAAAATGCACGCTATACTTTTTTGTTAATTACATAAAGTACACATAACAATGGCATATAATTATTGATTTGTTTCTGAATAATCGTCCTTTACGTAAATATAACCAAATTTGAATGGTTTCATTAATTAATAACAACTATTTAACAAAAAATATGCAAATTACCATTAAGAAAGTAATTAAAATAAATAATTTTTCCAATTTTCCGGGCATTTTTTCCATTGCTATATACCATTTTTTTTACCATTTATAGAAAGTAGACGTGACAAGTAGTAAGTGAGTCAAAATAAAACTTTGTAGGAGACGTAACAGCTATAAGATTAAAGATTTTCTCTTTTTTTTAAAAAAAAAAACTAGTTTAACAATAACCTTCAAATATTTCCACATCCGAAAAAGTTACTGCTTTTTTGCAATACTAAAAGCTATCTTTTGCCCATGTTTCAGCTTCATAGAAATTGTTTTGCTAAAGAAAAACCGGTTTTCCGCAATTTATTCGAAAATTTTTGAGGTTAAGGTAAAAATGATAAATACAGAAGTTATAGATGTTTTTATTTCCTACAGCTTTTACATTTAACTTTTTTCGATAAGATGCATAGTTTAGTCAAAAATCGCGAAAAACTGTGTTGAACCCCTAAAATCCCACCCCATTCCACACCGGATAGCAGCTATCGGTTCGCTTTATTTTTC